ACCCTGTAAGGAAAGAAAGAAAAGTCTCAGCTGGGGATGAAGAAATGGAGAAAGCAGAGAAAATAAAATAAAATAAAAATCTGTCACCAGTTTGAGAGTGTCCTAAAAATTAAAAAATGAAATAAAAGAGCCACCTCTTGTTCAATGGCACCAATACCTCAGTTCTATAGCAGGAGCAAAGAGCATACTGAGGAGCGCCGGCAGGCCGGGGATGGGAGGCATCAAAGAGGTTTCTGCTAAAATCACCGTAGATCCTGCCACCAGAAAGAGAAAACATCGAAGGGGGAGTACCAGTGAAAGTGAAACCTCACACAGACGTAACGTACAGCTACAGCGACACGTTTACTGCCAGAACTATCCACATAAAGAATTAGAGAAACTGTCCACACGTTTTTCCTAAGCATTACCGCTTGCGTTTATCGATAAAGAAGCAGCAACCAACAACTGCTGAAAGGGGTCACGTAGAGCGTCATGGACAACAATGGAGTTTATGCTTTCCTTTTGTATGAAAATGTTTCTGGGGAGCAAACAGGAAACATTATCGACGTTAAAAACCAACAGCCATACAAACATGTACAGAAGGAATTATTTTCAATTCAGAATTTAAATTCAGTGACTATTTCTCCACATAGCCACTAGAAACTAGGTGTGCTTCTAGTGTCTAATGCCAGACAGAATACAACCTCGATGGACAGCAGATGGCTGGAGATCACCTCAACACCTTTGAGCAGATGCATACAATCATATGAATAAATAAACTATGCATAAGACATCAAAGCACCTTTAATAAAACTGTTTCACATAGCAGCAGTGTACATTAACACAATTCAGGCCTGACTATGTCTATTTTTTTTTCAATGAATAGAAGTTCTGTAAAAATGCGTAAGTCACCAGGATGGTTTTTGCCGGTTTCATCAAAAACAACAGCTGAGAACGTGGCTATCCCTCCCAGTAAAACCAGATACCTGAACTGGGATACTCTGGTCATGCTGCAGCATTTCACCTGGCAAGGACTGAACGGGCCCAACACTGTCACCTTCAAAAGGAGACAAACCGAATTACACTCTCGTTAGCCAGCACCTGGGGGTCTCCAACCAAACCCTTTATTAATGAACGCCAAAGGAAAACACGTTCAGAGTTTCAGCTCCCAGGCTGCACCCCAAAGCTTTGTCAGAAGCCCCAGCAGAGCAGTCTGCAATGCGGGTCACGTTACGGCTTCCTACCAGCACAAGGCAGAATGTGCCACGAGAAGCACCCGGCGCGGTTTGTGACCGCAGTCCTTTCAGTCTCCACCGCCACCCTAATGAGACACAGGGCCTCGTAACGCCCACCAAAGCCACCGCTCCAGTTACCTTACGGGTTGGGGCGCCGGATTTGTTGTCAGAAAACAAGTCCAACAGTCTTTCAATGAGATGCTTTTTTTCCTCTCTTGACGACACGGGCATTTTCTTTTCTTTGTTTACTTGGTTCAAAAACAATCCCTTGAGCAAATCATGGCTTTGCCGAGCAACACAGGAAGACCGTTAAAACCACGGAACACCTGCGTTTCTCAAAAAGCTTACAACAAAGGTCCTGCATGGAGAACACACATACTCACAAATACAGAAAGCAACTTCTGACCACCCTTCACATTATAGGAAACGTGAAAATGCAAGACAGCTACCACTATGAAGCGGTGATGTTTTCCCCAAGTTTCAAAGAGCAGTGGAGCCGTTCAACGGATGCTGTTACCTCCTAGGACATCTCTCTCAAGAGGTGACTCGGTGCTTTTGGCCAACAGCTCGATACGAATCACACACAGAAATGTAGATTGTCCCACTTAATTATTAACTTGGTCTAACCCCAGGGTGTTGGTCAAGGCTTCAGCTCAGCCTCCCAGGACCTCAGTCACCCTGTGCTGAAATCCAGCAGCGTGAGCAGAGCCGCAGCAGGTTACTCAACACACACCTGTGACTCGTAGGGCTCCTCTGCCAGCTCGGCGTGGCACTCCTCGACGAGCACATCGCGAATGTTCACGAGCTCCTTGCACCGCGAGTAGCGGAAGACGTCCACGCGCAGGACGCCGTGCACCAGGGAGTAGACCTTCACCAGCAGCGTGTGGCCGCGCACCAGGGAGGAGAACCGCTGGTTGGCGCCGTCGCTCCACCCGGCCCCGCACACCAGGGACCTGGCAGACGAGCGCATCTTGCACATCTTGAACTCTAGAGCCTGGAGCAACAACATGGGAAACACTGCCCTAAACAGAGAATCGGCACGGAAACCTTCTGTTTTCTCAACACACTGTTTGAATTAAATATTAAATGGCTTCATAATTATTGCAGCGGCTTATGTTAATTCCTAGGACTGCTGTAAAGTACATAGCGTAATTCCTATCCATCACATCCATTACATCTCATTTTCTACAGCTCCTCAAAGGAGAGGGTAGCAAGGTGGATATTGGTCTTTTCTTCCCAGGAACAAGTGATGGGACGAGAGGAAATGGCCTCAAGTTGTGCCAGGGGAGGGTGAGGTTGGATATGGCGAAAAATTTCTTCACGGAAAGAGTAGCCAAGCACTGGCAGGGGCTGCCCAGGGCAGTGGTGGAGTCCCCATCCCTGGAGGGGTTCACAAACCGTGTGGATGTGGCACTTGGGGACGTGGTTTATGGCCATGGTGGGGTTGGGTTGAGGTTGGACTGGGTGATCTTGGAGGTCTCTCCCAACTCTAATGACTCTGTCATTTTATGATATCACTTCAATATTGTACATAGCTGCTAACGAATCAGAGCAAACAGCATAAATGAAAGATAGTTCAGTATTAACTCATCATCCCCATTAAATTCTTAGGAGTGTAGAGATGTCTTCTCCAGACAAAAACCTCACAATCCATGGGGTTTTTTTTCAACAAGGTAACAGAAAACGTGGCAGGAGCCCTGCAGCCCTTCTGTCCCTGGCAGGCCACAGTAATTAAGTTCTCATCTAACCCTTTCCACAATCACTATCTGTAATTACGCCTTCAAATGAATTTACAACAGAAATCTACTTTTTTTTCTTGCTGGTCATTAATACTGGTCAATAAAAGGTTAGGCCTGAAGCAGAAAAGAAAAATGAATAGAAAAAAAGAATAACAACAATGTTTTTACATCCAGTCAGGCAACTTCAGGTGTTTTTTTCTTCTTTTTTTTAATCCCTTTAGCAAATGTCCCTGAAAACAAAAGGCTGGGTAACATTTTGCGACCGTTAAATACAACGCAATTCAGTTACACACAGGAATTCCTGTCTGCGTGCGCACGTCTGTGGAAAACGTTTATCCACCTGCTGGTGAAGGTGATGTGTGGGCATTCCCGTTAGCAAAACCCACATTGCTTCACTGTTCTGAAAAGCACCGTGATTTGAGGCACACTTCTGCTCCCCAGACCAGACATGAAGACATCAGTGAACAGCATCACCCCTACCTGGAAAGGAAGCTCCTGAAGATGGCTTGGAATCGCTTTTAATTCCTTCAGAGGCACTTTTGATCTATTGCCATAATCCACAAAAAACACCTGCAAAAGGAATCAAGAGCATCTGCAGAGATGTCACTGCATGGAAAGCTCCACTTTTAGTGGCAAGGGAAGTGACGACCGACACAATGCTGACACTGCAATGCAATGTTATCAGGTGACAGGGAAGCAAATTCAGAGTCTGGAAAACACAAATGAAGTCATACTGAAAATAACAGCTCACATCTTATCATGTCTATTATTTGAACCCTTGGCTTAAACGTCCACTGGTAACGCAAAGAGTCTGCTACATCCAGGAAAGGGAAATTCCTCTGAAAGGCTCCAAGTCTCTTCTCGCAATTAAACCTTTATAACGTTACTTTTGCTGCCTCGATTGCTTTTAGATAAGCAAATGCCACCATGGATCAGGTGACACTGTAGAAACACAAAAGAGAAGTGTTTCCCATGCACTGTTTTCATGACTTTAAACAGATGACAGTGCTCAGTAGTAACTCTGTCACTGCGGCACCCCGCTATGTCAGAAATCAAGAAGTTCAAAGGAGGAATGGGCTGTGCAAAGGCCACTTTTACAATGATCTAAAAAACAACTGCTGAGAAGTACTGGCCTGAAACATAAACACTGATCTTGAACTGGGCACTAATTCCCATTACTGATACTGACACAAAAAGCCAAAATATTTTGATGAATTTGCTGATGCAGAACTCGGCAACACAAACACTGATGATAAAAGGTCACACCGAATGGACCCAGGAACCCAAGAGGGAAGGGGAAAACCAAACGGTACGAGGTAAAAGACCACATCCTTTGGAATCTTGACAAACTTCCGCTAGATGTGCTCCAGTTTTATTTATAAATTCTAATTTGTTGTAAGTCACCAAGGAGACAGAACAAAGCATGAGATGCCAAGATGCGGCCCATGCAGAAACGCTATGAAAAGGCCAATGTGGCACGTGCCACAGGAAATATCCCTGAGCGCAGGGAGAGACGCTGCGTTGGAAGAGCAACCCTGGCATCGCTGCAAGAGCAAAGGCAGAGCCCTAAGTACGGGAGCAGACAATTCTGTTTTGAGCTCAGTTTTCTAAGCAAAATACAGGAGTGAGATGGAGATGGAGATGAGTTAAACAATGAACCAATGCAGTATGTGGGGGGAGAAAAAGTGCGTTTCTTCAAAGTTATTGGAGGTTTCAGTCTTTATTTTACCTCATTTTGCTTCAGCACAGGAGACACTTTACTGTAACAACAACAGCCTCTCAGTTTAACACTAAATATTGCTGTGTTCTGGAAAGAAACAAATTCATCTATTCTGGCAACATGCTATTAAAGTTTTATTTTAGTTCCAGTTCTACAGATTCCTTTGCTGGAATATTTGTAATTATCATGTGAAAAATAAAGCACAGCTCTAAGATCGTTAACCCAGTTACATCCTGTGAGCTAATGCGCCATAAAGTACGGGGAGCGGCTGAGGGAGCTGGGGCTCTTGAGCTTGGAGCAGAGGAGACTGAGGGGTGCCCTCATTCCTGGGGATCCATTGGGAAAGGGCAGTGTCAGGAGGAAGGAGCCAGGCTCTGCTCTGGGATGGCCAATGCCAGGACAAGGGGCAATGGTCCCAAGCTGGAGCACAGGAGGTTCAAGCTGAAGATGAGGCCAAACTTTGTGAGTGTGAGGGTTCTGGAGCATGGCCCAGGCTGCCCAGAGAGGTTGTGGAGTCTCCTTGTGTGCAGACACCCAAAGCCCTGGCCGTGTTCCTGTGTGACTGCTCTGGTGATCCTGCTCTGGCAGGGGTTGCACTGGGGGAGCTTTCCAGGTCCCTTCCAACCCCTCATATTCTGGGATTGTGCTGTACCTCAGCAACGTCTTCACAGACGTACAGGACGCGTGCTCTGTAGTAGCCTCTGTTCTCCGCGTTGGAGAAGGGCGCCAGACAAATCAGCTCGGGGTGCACCAACACGGGCAGGTCCTGCAGGCTCTGGTAGTTGATTTCAGCAGCCAGTGCCTCCAGCGCAATCCTGTTCTGCTCATCTATCCTGTAACCCCAGAAGTGGCCAACCTCTACCACCTGAAAGTACCAAAGTTAGACAATACCAGATTTCGTATTATTTTATTCTTCTAAGTCAAATACCAAACATCTGAGCAGAATACATGAAGCACTCCTGCTCCTCTTATCTGCACTTGCAGAACTCGTCACTACTGTCAAGAGCTGTTTCAATACTTCAGTCTGTAACTTCCACTAGCTCAGTGGATTTTTATTATTATAATTTTTTTGTCAGCAGCACATGTATTGCTTGCTATTACTCAACTTGTTGAGAAGATGATAGTCAACACAAGATTTAAAAGTTCCCAGCTTCAGAGTTCAGAAATATTCCTATATAGAGATGATTTTCCCCTACCACACTTTATGCATGCAGGATTTTTCCAGATGGGCACGCAGCCCATCTGGTAATTAACCAATGAGGTTAATTCACCTCATTTCTCACAGCTACAGCTTCTGAACAAGACTGCCTGGTAATAACCACCAGGTAAACGGCCCAAATACCCGCTGATTTGCATTTCTATAGTGTCCACAAATATTCCACCTCTCCCATTAGTCCTCTTTACATTTATGCCCACTTCCAGCTAACATTCACTGCCAGTAAATAGCTCCAATTTTGTCCAGCGCTGTCTAACAGGCAAGTACTGTTTAAGGAAGAGCTACTAAAAATGAGACCAGGAATATTCTCTGTACCTGTTATGGATACCTCTGGGCTACAAACATTGTTAGTACCATTCTTTCCACTTACTCTTGTCAGATACTCATCTGTGCAAAGCCCTCGAGGTCCTCACTACCACACAGGACCTCCCGCAGACGCAGAGCACTCCTACCTCTGTTATCTTGATGGACAGGAGGCGATTCGGGATCATCTCCAACAGACGTGAAGTACCAAAGGAGAATTCCACAGGCTCCACTGTCTGCTTCTGACAGTCCACATTTACTCTACAAAGTTCAGGGAATAAAAATGCCAAATACTTCACTCACAAGCAAAAACTCAAAGAGTTTTAAGCGCTGTTTTGGGCACACAAACCGCTAACACGTTTTATTAAAAACTAGGTACTACCAACTGGGTGTGTTCACTGCACTTTAACCTTTCCAGTTCATTCCTGCCTTCCTATTTTAGAGTTCCTATTTGAAAAGATCAAAACGGCTGCAGCCATCAGCAGGCAGTGACCACTTCAGCAAGTCGCAGACAGCATCAAACAACGAAACCCTCGTGCTAGACTTTTCCAGCCACAGCAGGCGTGGACCAGAGCCTCACCACTCTGCATTGCTCAGTAAGACTTTCTATTATGCCTCCCCTCCTGTCTTGCCACATTTCCCCCAGTTCCTGTTGTTGTACTCCTCCTTCCGTTACTTTTACAGCTCCAAATGCCACTCTGTATTTATTCTGCTTCTAGCGATTCGCACATTGCCTCTAGAATGAGTTACTGTGTACATCCATATTCCATATGCCAAAGGCAAATGGACCAGAACCTTAAAAAGAAGACTCCATACTTGGAGTTGTCTTAAACTCTAAAACACCTTTACCTCTAGAGAAATATTTAAGACAACCACGTTATTTCTACTCCTGCAGAAACACCCTGCTCATACACAGTTTACACATCTGGTTTGTGAACCCAATGCGCCTTCCTTGGTGACACTTCCAAGGAAATTCTCACCGAATCCCACAGACCTCAACCCGTATGAAATGCGGTTACCTCAGAGACTCCATGTTCGCAGCTCGCGTGTCGTGCAGGTGGTTTTCAATGTCCCACGGGTAATGAACGTCCAGCTCCAGAGGAATTTTCAGCTGCGACATCTTGATCGCCAGGTACACGGCAGGAAGGATCTTAAAGCCCTCCATTGGGTCACGGGAGAACTCCACAAGAGCTCTGTTCAAAACATTGCAAGAAAGACGCGATGAGGAATCAAAACCCCACAAAAGCCACCGTTTCTTCTTCCTGTCTTTACCTTAGAAGCCAGCAAAGGGTAAAATGCACATTCCCGACAGGCTCTGCCTACTGCTTTTACGCACCTTCAAACTTTAATTGTGACGATGGTTACAAGAAAACTTCTTTACGTTCTCACAAGCGTGTACCAAATTTACTGAGCATATTTAATACAAACAGAAAGGATGTGAACATATATGTGAATAAGAAAAGAACTGAAAGTCGGAAAAAGCATAAGAAGGGCTACGTGAAGCCAACTTTGGGTAGCTGCAGTCTGGAATTGGCCGGATGAGCTGAAGCAGCCAGTCATGTGCATCTTGTGCAAGGCCACCTGAGCACACAGGTGAGCTAAATTCAGTGCACAAGGCAGAAAAATACAGACACGTCCACCGCAGGCCCAGTCAGACAACAGGGGACAAACCAGGAGGTGGTCTCTAACTCAGCTACTTTATGCCACTGCGTAGCAACCTTCAAAGCCACTTACTCCAGCCAATACGTTAAAAATAAGTTACTGATTCCAAAGAGATGAGAAGAAATAAACTCGTTTTGTCAGTGCACCATTGACAAAGGAAGAAGCCTACTCCTAGATTGATACCTGAGAACGTGAGAAAGTCAGGGTACTTAAAGTATGCTGCACTTACTTGGATCCATCGTAGACAATGGATTTTACCTGCCCACACTGTCTAAACAGCGACTGCAACTGTTTGTGGTACAGATATCCATAGGGAGGAATATTCTTCAGCTGTTAAGAAAAAGAAGTTAAATTTGGATACATTCAACTATTGCAATGCATTATTAACTTCCCCTGAATAGTTAGCTCCGTGCTTCGCTCGAGCTGCAATAGTGATATACAATCTGAACCCCAACAAATCCCCAAAATACTACATGCCATATCAAACTAAAAAAATCTCAAGACAATAAAACCAGAGTTTTGCTGCTAATGCTGCCCTACTGCCTCAAACCAGTAGGTATTTCCTAACTATAAATGAAGCAGTAATATAAATATTTCTTTAATAATTTCTCCTAGAAGTTGTCTCGTATCCCTCTTCCTGCTTGTAACAGAAAAGCAATGGATGCTGCGCTTCCCTGTCCACCATCAGGATCTCCACCCCATCAGCGCAGGAAGGCTGGGAAAAAGCAGTTCTAAAAGAAGAAGATAAAAAGAAAGCAGAGTGCAATACCTGAGCAACCCTACAGCAACGAGCATACAGGCCATGCACTATCGAGTGGATTGCTGAGAGTAACATTAAAGTTGCACCAACACGTTTCACAAATACTGACAGACCTTTGATAGTCCTGCTCTATTTCTCAGATTTTTTTATTGTTTTATGGAAGCTTTTTGTCCGTGCAAGACGCAATCAAATGCACAGAGACAGTTCTCAGCAGAAAAAAAGCAGGAATTCTGCTAAAACTGCCCACCCACACAATGTTGTTATACTGGGAGAAAGGGAGATGGGGGAGAAGCCAACCCCAGGTGAGGATCAGAGGGGATCACAGTGGATTTCTGTCCTCGGCCAGGATGGAACAAAACCTGAAAATACTGCCCCAAATACACGTATTTTTATTCTTTGATTCTTTATTCATCGTTCACCTTCTTAACATACCATTACAGTGGTTTTTGGATCCTTGCCTGCAAGGCTTTTCATAGCAAATTCTTCATCAGGTTTTCCAAAAGTAAAGTAGTTTGGATAGAAGGCACCAGCTATGGCAACCTGAAATCAAGAGAGTGTTCTGTAAAAACCCAGCAGATTATGCTCGGTTTCTTGAAAAGAGACACGGCCAGCACCATAAAGAGACACTGACTGACCTTCACGTGAAGATTTTTTCCTGTCTTATTCCAGGAATTACTGTCATTAAGGACTGTTGTGGTTCAACTAAACATTAACTCATGCAAATCCTTAAAAATGTACTTGAATGAAAAGAGTTCAACTTCTGGAACAATTATACAATAGTTATTACTTTTGTATGCAGATGCGCTTTATGAAAACTGTAACTGTTAGCCCTGATAGCAAGGAGAGCCTCAATTTTAAAGAAATTCACAAAAAACAGCTATACAAAACTTGTTCAGTTTTCACGTTACACCTCACAGCATTCAACAACTCAGCTCTGAGAAGTTCACCGCTTACACAGTTAAACCAACTGCCACCGAAACAATAAATAGATCTGTGACAATAAAACCACTGCCGTTTGGTCCAAATGAAATAAGTAATTCTGTTGATATTTGATGAAGTTATAATAGCTGAAAGGCATCTAATCCCTCCTGCAACAACCAACCAAGCCAGCGGTGGGGTCCAAACAGAGCACTTAACACAGGGAAACGTCGTTTTGAAAACTTAGTCCTCAGCCTTCCACCCTCCTCCTTTAGAGGATATTTACATAGCCTTTATAAGACTTAGTCTAGATACACAGTTTAATTTGGTTTGACTTGGTTTTATTTTGATGAGCTGCCCAAAGAGAAGGGACAGCCAGAGGACCAGCTCAGTGCGGGTTCTGAGCCATCACAAGTAACATCAGTTGTCCTTCTAAGCTGTCAGAAATAATTACCTTTCATTTTCACCTGCAACCCCAAAACCTACAGAAAACTTGGAAACACAGGTGCAGCTCGTCAGTACTAGTACGTAAAAATCCAGTTACAAATTCCGAGTCAATAAAGCACGACCTGCAAGATGAAGTGTTGTCTGCATAGGTACTCCTGATCCACAGCGGCTGGCTGAGCAGTAACATACATGTTAAATGCTCTGACTCGCTCCTTCAAGTCATGAAATAACTCTGACACCTGAAATTTGAACACAAAGTTGTACATTAAACAGATCAAAACCATCCACAAATTAAAATAAGATGTGTTAGCGAAAGTCTAACTAAGTGGGCTTTTGTTTTTGGGTGACACTTGTATGCATTTCAGCCAATACACTGCTTGGCATCTCTACTCTGGAAAATAACTGCAGTACTGTGACTTTACAAGATGATGTACTGATTCTGCATTTAAATCATTTTGGGTTTGTATCTCAAAAGGCAAGACACACCAGCACCAACCTGGCCTCCTGCACCTCACCCAGGCATCGAACACGTCGCACCCTCAGCTCAGCAGACAGCCACGATCACTTAAATGAGATCAAATGTATGCCCTAAAGCAGAATGTGCTCTGGTAAACTGGCAATCCCAGGCGTTTCCAGAATTTTCCATAAGCAGCCACTGTCCTCCAGCCACGCAGTGAATGCCTGCATTGGCTCAATTGATTTTGGAGCAAATGTAGCAAAGCATGACAGGCTCAGCTGCTTCACAGCTACATGTCCTGTCCTGCTGCCGGTGCACTACAAACCCCTGCTCACACCACAGCTGCAATCTTGTGTCCAGTGCTGGGCCCTCAGCTCCAGAAGGACAGGAACTGCTTGAAAGAGTCCAGCAGGGCCACAAAGATGCTGGAGGGAGTGGAGCATCTCCTGCTGAGGAGCGGCTGAGGGAGCTGGGGCTCTTGAGCTTGGAGCAGAGGACACTGAGGGGTGCCCTCATTCCTGGGGATCCATTGGGAAAGGGCAGTGTCAGGAGGAAGGAGCCAGGCTCTGCTCTGGGATGGCCAATGCCAGGACAAGGGGCAATGGTCCCAAGCTGGAGCACAGGAGGTTCAAGCTGAAGATGAGGCCAAACTTTGTGAGTGTGAGGGTTCTGGAGCATGGCCCAGGCTGCCCAGAGAGGTTGTGGAGTCTCCTTGTGTGGAGACACCCAAAGCCCTGGCCATGTTCCTGTGTGACTGCTCTGGTGATCCTGCTCTGGCAGGGGTTGCACTGGGGGAGCTTTCCAGGTCCCTTCCCACTCCTGACATCCTGGGATTCTGTGATTCCTGTTATTATCCTCATGGGGCAACTGCTATAACCAGAAACCCGGCTGTGCGGCCGCCTCAGCTCTGCAAATCCACACGAGGAATTATCAAATTAGTGTCTGAAAGCGTGGCAAATAAAAAGCCCCAAATCTTCTTCATAAGCATCAGTGCAGGTGTCCATTCTAAGCTTCTGAGCTATTGTCACTGCCTGAATTATCAGAAACTGAGCCAAGAGAACCCCAGCTACCAGGAGGCTGCCACATAAAACTGACCCTTCAGCTCTCCACTTCTACACAATTTACCTTTTTGTCATCTTTTTTCCTCGGTATCAGATACACAAGCTAAAAAAAACTACTGGCATTTCTTATCCAGATTTTATTAGCTTTATTAAAAGCTATTTTATCCTGTGCTTTTTGATCACAGGCCCTGCACTGCTCACACCAAAGGCAGCCCCTGCTGGAAGAGTGGGCACAGCCATGCTCTGCCCGTCACCTTGCTCAGGGAATTTACTTATTTCACCTCTCAATGTAACACATTAAGCCCTCTGTGATGCAGAGTTCTCACTGATTGCTGCAGTAACATTAGCAAAGCCCCACACATTTTCGTGTCCCGCTCTCATTATATACCTGTATTTGCTTAAAATTACACTGGCTGTAAGACAAAATTTGTGTAACCAGAGCCAGCAGTCACACCACCACCGGGGTACCTGAGGGACCTACAGAATGAGCAAACACTACTGGAGTAGTTAAAAATACATTAAACAGTTAAGAACTGAACAGCACTTTGTTTCTCCTAACAAAAGGAAAATTCCTTTCGCCTGAAAGCCAGCAGCGCGTTCAACCCCCGCTTCTTAACAACCCACGGCCTTATTCACACATCAGCGGTTCTCTCAGGTCCATTCTTCACAAGAACACGCACCTGGCTGTGGCAGCATTACAGTAACCTTCCTTTCTTTGAAATCCTCTACAAATGGGGGCTCTGCAACCCCGTGAGAGAAAGAGAGGAGGAAACGCTGCCCAGATGTTTCCTCATTATGATCAGAGTTAATAAAGCTTCCGCCTGATGTGTCTCAAATTGTACTTGGAGTCCTCCCAAAAAAACCAAAAACCTAAGTTCAGTTTATTGAAAAGAAACAGACATTTACCTACGCTGATGCACAGTAATACAACAGGCTTATCCAGCATCTTAGCATTTGGAGAAAATAAGGAGTTAAGTCCTTCTGCTTAGAGAAATTATTATTTATTTCAACTTGCCTCTTTGATCTTCTTTGTATGAACACAGTTTGATCGACCCCAACCAAACTCTTGCTGGAAAAGAAGCACAGAAAAAAAAAGCTTTTATCCTATACACACAAAAGCAGCCCGGAGGCAGTTACTGTGCGCATGCCACTGGTTTTAGTGACTGATGCACATAAAGATCTTACAGGCCTTTATTCACAGGCGTACACATCTTTCAGGCGTTTTTTTTGTGGGGCAAGATATTTGTGCATTTCTTTAAAAAATAAAAAGATAGAAATATTTTCAATATGCATAAATGTTTCTTTCAACTACAGCTCAATCCCCCTTTTCAGCTTGGATTTCAAACCCTCTGGCCACTGCCGATCCATCTGTGAAGGGACTGTGAAGGGACTGCCTCCAAACACTCAGCACTGGATGCAGAGACTCATGTTATCTCAATCCCGTGCTTCTACTTACTTATGAAAAACCGTAACTATTATAAACAAGGATTGCTAGCAAAAATTCCCTACTAGGAATATAAAATACTGCAGCACTGAAGTCTCCAACCTTGAACAGGAAAGAAGAAATAAAGTTTAACCAACCTTGGAATATCTCAGCTGCCCTTTGTGTCTGCAGGCCTGCCATGCCTACAAAAGAAGTGGTGCAGTATTCAGGCACAGGCTGTGGTGCTTTAGTAATAATTACCACAAATATTAATGTGAATTCTTCCCTTGATCTTTTCTGATACTCAGCCATTCAAAACAAAGCTGTCACATCACTCACACACAGAGATACTGCACAGGAGGCTCTGGATGTTTGTGTTTTACCTTCCAGGACAATATACTGCTTTATAGAAACACCACAAGTATCACATTAACTGAACATGAGGGAAATACGGAAAAGGGGGATTCAGAAAAGATGATGCTTGAGCCCCAGGGTCAGTGGGCACACGTGTGCCCGTGTTTACTTCATAAAAGTCTGACACCAGAGTATAGAAACACAAGTCAGCTTCCACCAAAGCATAAAAAGGCCAGTAGACACAACATGGAATAAATTAAATCTGCAACTGAAGATTTTGGAGTCTCCAGCAGATTACAGAAGGGGTCAGACCATCCATAACAGAGAAACGTTGGATTCTGGACAATGAATCCTCAAGCAGAAGCGGTGCCTGTGCTCCTGGGCCAGCAGGGATCACCCTGCCCATGGTGCTGGGCTGCCCACAGCCATGTGTGCAGCAAATCCCACTTGGGCAGAATTCAGTAGGACAACATGACAGCTGTGCAGCCTGGAGAAAGGACTCTAAACTCACTCTGTGCTGGACGCCATGGCAGACTAAAAAGTGGGGAACACACTCAGAAACTGAGCCTTGCAAGCCAGCTTTACCCATTTCTTGCTACCTTACGCTGGTGCGAACTCAAGCAGCTCCTTCAGAGCAGTAAAAATTAACTCCTTGGCACCAGCAGTGTTATACTGCAGGACACAGCATTCAGAAAGTACCACCAAGTAGCTAGGAGGAACGCGAAGGTTTTAACAAATGCTGCTCTAAGCTGACAAAGGCGAGAGGCTCTGTCTCAGTGAAGACGAACAAAGACTTACCTTAAATGCATTCACAATCGCAATACAGTCACTCTTGCTATTCCCAGCAAAGAGCAGTTTGTTCCTGAAATACAAAAAGAACGAGGAACAGTACTTTTTCATGTATTTAATGTATTACACAGCTCAGAATGCTGCAACTATTAACACCTTCCAGGACTTCAATAAACAAGGTCAATACATTCACTGTAATTATTTATTCTTATTCACATCTCCTTGCTGAAGGTAAACTATGTGTTTATTTTTTTAAAAACTGTTAATAGACACAGCCACATATTCACACCAGAAAGGCAATGCTAAAGAAGCAGGTGTTGTACTTGGTAAAGGATGAGTTAGCTCTGTGACACTCACTAGATCACACTGAGATGGATTTTGTTATCTCAGCCGCCCCAGAAAAGCTGCATTTTGTACTGCTTGGCACTTTGACAGATTCTAAAACTCATGACTTGAAAAGTTTTATTTAGTGGTCAGCATAGCCCTCTGCCCACAAATGCAACCAGGAGTTGTAAAACCTCCAGGGCAGTACCTGTATCCGTTGATGTGCTGCTTGAAAGGGACGGCAAAAAAATTCTGCAAAGAGAGCGCTGCAGCTACAACGGAAACAAATCCCAATGAACACCTGCAAACCACTGGTTCAGAGCAGTGTTCTCACATGTCCTTCTCTCAGTTACCTATAATGAGGCATTCCTCCAAGCACCCGAAGACGTGCCCAAGGACTATCAGTTTGCCAAGATGCAGATCCACGGGCAGCTGTGCCAAGACCCTTCCTAGGAAAGTCAGTTCCCCGTCATGGGGATTTTCTTCTGCTTGCACACAAGTTGTAAGTGCTCCCAGCTACAGAAATTAAAGTTTATTCACTTGTGAAAGACGACCGAGTAAATATAAGACTATAAGGAAACAAGACAAGAAGCAAGCAGTTATCTCAAACCCACATCAATCAGTACCAGAACTGTAATTATGCTGAAGCTCTTCAATCCATTTTAAAAGCCTAGTATTTTGAAACCACATGGACTGGATATAAAAGCAAGCTACAAATTATACAAATATAACCTCTTATGCACTTTGGAAAAGAAAGTTTAATGCAATGAATGTTCTACCCCATATTAACTGTGTAACTGAAAAGCAAAAATCCACTTCCTTGTACCCGTCAGGAGGGAACTTC